GACAAGGTGAAGAAATTATTTGGTGAGCCCAGTGAGAAAAATGAGGATCTCAAAAATGAGGTCCGGGATAAGCTAGCAAACTACCACACCAAGGTTGATGATGCTCGAGCTCTGCTAAGAGAAGCTATAAGTAAAATTAGGGAGGCTGATCGTTTATCTGCAGTCAACCAAAAAAATATGACCATGGTAGAGGTAAGTGCTGACAAGTTGTATCCTTGATTACTTGGAGTCTGATCAAAGTTTGAAACTTTGCATGATTAAATCTTGAAGCAACAATATAAGTCAAATAAAAATATTATTTTAATATAACTATATCTGATGTAATTAAAAGGAAACATATTCCTCAGAATGAGGTCATACATTGGCTTTTTAAAAGTAGAATTAGTCCAGAGCTTTATCAAAATAATATCTGCTTTTAAACACGGAGTGGAGGGTGCCTTCAATTTATTATTCTGGGGGAGCTTAAATTCATCTCAGTATAAATAGTCATGTAAAATTCAAATCCTGTGCTCAAGATATTTAAATAGGAGTTCAGTTAAAATCTTTTCTGTCATGTATTTGCTCATAAAAAAACGTCCACTTTCATCTCCCTCTCCAACCCCAGGGAAGAAATCTGAAGGGGGTATGCGGATATTACAGAGTAATAAATCAGAATCTATCCTCTGTAGTTAGTAGCTGTTATAAATGATCTCCCTCATAGCAGAGGGGTCTTCCTGTGGTTTAATTTGAATTGCAGAGACTTAAAGAGCACATTATACTCTACATTAACAAGCATTTAACCAAGACATAAAGAGCAGAGTCAACCTAATGAAGATAAATGTTTCAACTCTGTTTGTATCTCGATGAGCTTTCGCCTCATGTACAGTGATGAGGTTAGAGTTCAGAGACCTCCGTTCCCCGCAGAGATTTGTGGGCTTGCTTGAATTAAGGAAATACAGTTAGGCGATCTCTGTTCTGTGCATTTTCTTCCCAAAGGTGGATGGATAAAGGTTGAAGAAATTACCTGCTATCTCACATTTTAAAATATTCT